AGGTGGGCGAGCTGGGGAGAGGCGGGGGCTTCTTTTGGGAGGAGTCTTGAGGAGGGGAGTGCAGCCCCTCGCACTGCTTGATTGTATCCAGACAATTACCTTCGGACTGGGGGCTTTGGACTGGAGGGAGGCATGGATCTGCTGGAAGGAGGTGACAGGGGCCAACATTCAGTTCGGGGATAAACTTCCAGTTGAAATGTTTGTGTTGGGGGAGGGGGCAGGGATTTACCTATTTGATAGTGCTTTTGATTTAGCTCAAAACTTAACCAAGGCATTAGTCAAAGGTAACAAAATTACTCTGGTGGTTACTGTAACAGTGCTCGTTTGTTTGTTTATCCCACATGCAGGGGAAGTGACACACAGAAGTTGGTTCCCTTGGTCCACAGCCTCCAGATTTCTTTTCAGCAGGGTGGTGATGGAGATGTGTGTGTGTGCTCGTGGGGCGAGGGTATTTCGGCCTGCGTCAGGATCATTCCAGTTCTCCCACCTCATGTTTCAGGGAAAGAGAAAAAGTTCAGGTGGGAGAGAGAGTCTGTGTGGGAGACAGCTACTGTTGCTGCACTGTGGGAATTAGTTTTAACTCTGTTGAGTATCCAGGCTGATCAGTCAGTGGCCCCTTTTAAACCTTCTGATAGAACATGTACTTTAAATTAGAAAATGAAAGACCTACTTATTTTTAATAAGTTAAGAAAACAAGTCATTATTCTGTTTACTTTTAGAATTACTTTTTGTGATGTGAATAACATTTGCCCACAGGTGGTAATATACGTTGAACTAGATCTAAGGTGTAATACTTTTGAAAATAAAAAATACTTAACTTTTAGTTATGTGATGAATATTGGTTTTTCTCATAAATAAATAAATTGTGGAAGAAAAAAATTCACAAAATTACAAGAGTAATTTAGAATTAGAAAGATGTGAGACCAGTGTAAAAGAATATTTTCCACCAAAAAATCAGATCTGGCTTGTGGCTTTTTTTTTTTTTTTTTTTTTGATGTACATCATGTGTTTTATAGTTATTTCTAAACTTTGCTCCAGCTGTATCCTGAGCTAAGATAAATTATCTTCATATTTTGTATACATTAGCCTTTATGGTTTCACAAAGATGAAAATTATATTTATGGGCATTGAAAGAAAGATGTTCTCAAATACATTGTATGGCTTTGGCATAGATCCTTGGCAGAATTTATGGATACTTTTGTTTTAAGTGAGCTTCCATTTCTGGATATGCATCAGGTAGAAAGTAGTTCTTATTAGAATGGGGGACAGAAAGGTTAATTTTAATGTTGATATGTATGACACCTTTTTGGGGGAATCTTGAGAAATGATTATCTTTACTGATGATTTATTGTACTCATTGACTGCTTCTGTCATTCATCAGCTTAAAAATTAATGCATTATATAATCACTGACATTTTCATCATTAGATTTACGGGCATTAACAATATATTAACAAAATCTTCAGCACATGAAAGTCATGTATTACTTCTTTTCAAATGAAGGACTGGTATAGAATCAAAGAATAGTTTAATTCAACCTGGTCCTTTACTTTGTGTAAGAGACCTTTTCTATTTGGTGAGGATGGAAGAGTGGGTAGAATATGAAGATGCATGAGACCCAATAGCTACCTTCAAAGGAAAAGCAGACATGCACAGAAATAATTGCAACACAAGATTCCTTTGGGTTTGATTAGAGGTGCATGGAAGCATGGGGGGTGTGTGTGTGAGAAATAATAATTTTTGACTGGGGAATTATTAACAGGTGTAGAGCTAGTAATACTCCACCTGGACCTTAAAATATTTTAATAGGTAAAATGGGGATGGGAGGGAGGTATTTTTCTGGGCGAAGGGAACAGCCTGAGCACAGGCATTGTTTGGGTATTATAGGGCATGTTGAGCTGGACGTATGGCTTCTGTGCCAGGAGATCTTTGTGGGAGAGGAAGCTGTGAAAGTAGGTGGAGATCAGGCCATGGAAGTCCAGAATGTCTTGTATTTAAAAATGAGTCAGTTTGAGGTGTGGAGGTCCAAGTGTATAGATAGGTTAACCTATGCTAATAGTAGGTTGGTAAATAAGGATAGTAAGTTTAAGGAAATAAATTATAACAAAATAGCCAACTTGCTGTCATTTATGCTACTGGAGGAAAGCTGAAAAGGATATAACCCAAAACAGTTTATATGTGGATTTGTGATATTTCTTTACTTGTATTTGAATATGGGTGTGTCTGGTAATCTGGTAATTGGTTTTACATGAAATAAATCCAGACTAAAAAAATGTGACTCAGGAAGAAATGGGAAGCTCTCCAGTTACTTCTGTGTCCTGTCTGATCCATCCTGTAATCCTCTCCATGCTAGGAATAGACCATTATTCTGGTGTAGTTTATTGGTTCAGATTTTTTTCAGAATGGGACAAGTGATTGTTTAGTTTCAAAGGGCTTACCAAAAGGATGTATCAAATGAAACAGAGAGAATGCTCAGATATGAAATAACAAAGTACAGGTCATTGGATAGTTTATGTTACTGTTAATACATTTGAAGGTGAGATTTGCTATGGGTAAAATGAAATGTAAAGAATCTGCACATGAAGAGAATTCAGTATAACAGTGGAATGATAAAATGAGAAACTTCCACAGTTCCAGATAAATATGTGTGAGGTTTTTAGTTATTTTAAATCTCAGATGACCCTGAAATAATTTAACCCTGAACTTCTTAATCCTTATCAAAAGAGTGCTTAGAGAAATATCACCCTAACAACACCAGTTTCTAAGTGCATGTAGAATCATGTTACAAGGAAGGTTGTTTGATGATTTTTTACTAATTATTCCTCTCAACATTCAAAAAGGACTTAAATTGTAAGTGCATTTGTGTTACCTTGACCCTCCCAATATCAACAATACCTGTTACAATTTAAGTGCCTATTTTGTTTAGAGACTATAAATGATACTGTTAATTAAGACAACTCTTTGAGTTAGGTGGTGTAACTCCCATTTTTGAGAGCAGGAAATAGTCTTCTAGTTTAAGTAACCTGTGAAGATATATCTTGGAAGTAGCAGAGTGCTTATTTGAATCAGTTTTTTTTCTGATTTCAAAGTCTTAAACTATCAATGATCTGTTTTTTCTAATCCTCCATTGACTTCCTTTTTTTGTCTTTTCTCATGCAGTTAGCATTTGGTGGTATTAATGATATTGTTAGTATGTGTCTGAGTGTGGGTTCTTCAAGATGTAATTTTTTTGGAAGTGGCAGTTTTGAGGTATCTGTCTTTCTGTAACTGTAGGGATTCTATAGACACAGACAGGATGGTCTGGTAACTTAAGCTACATTCAGAGCATCACCTTTGTGCCAATCTGCAGGACAGAACCATACTTGGGATTCTTAATGTGTAGAAATCAAGTGGTATTATTCATTAATGTAAAGTGATGTTGGAAGGCCTCTGAACTTTTCAGAAAATATGTAATGAGAGAGATACATGTGGGGATAGATAACTTTTAGAGACACAGTGAAGGCTGGTGTTAGACATTAGTTGGTTTTTTTTTTTTTTTATTAGCTCCCTTCTCAAAGCTGAGATGTAGAAACTATAAGTGTTTGGGGTTCCCTTCTATTATGGGACCTAAGGAAGGTACATACTGATTTGTTCTTAGACTTGGTAAATGATTGGTTATATTCTCTCTTGCCACTCCTCACCTATCATACTAGTTATGAGAAAGAATTTTTAACAGTGAACTCGAAGTGTTTATATATTTGGGAGATAAGACATACTTTTTGGTTATTTTCCTTATTAATGATATATAGCTATTTAATTTAATGAGAATTTATGGCTAAATCATGTCCATGTTTTTTATAGCTTTCAATAGAATAAGGTAAATACTTGTGATATTCTTTTTCTTAAACACAAGTTTTTAAGTGCTTTTCTCTCTAGGATAGTAATGTCAGATTTAAAGCTGTATTCAAGTTTATTACATTTATTTAGATGATTTGTTTTTTTTATTTTTTATTTTATTTTTTTATTTTTTTTATTTTTTAAAAAAGATGACCGGTAAGGGGATCTTAACCCTTGACTTATTTTTTTTATTTTTTATTTATTTTTTTTTTAAAAAAAGATGACCGGTAAGGGGATCTTAACCCTTGACTTGGTGTTGTCAGCACCACGCTCAGCCAGTGAGCGAACCGGCCATCCCTATATAGGATCCGAACCCGTGGCCTTGGTGTTATCAGCACCACACTCTCCCGAGTGAGCCACGGGCCGGCCCTAGATGATTTGTTTTTACCTGGAACTACTTTCTTTAGCTGATAGCTACATTTGCGAAAAAAGAAGAGAGTTACTCTGACATTGTTTTTCAAGATTGAGAAAATTCATATAATGTGCCAAGGTGTGATGTGTGGCATGTAGTAGGCACTGTGTAAATCTTCCCTTTATTTTCAGAAGTTGCTAATATATATGAACTGTTAGAAGGTTAATCGGTGGGTAGAATATGCAAAGCCTCCTGGGAACAGCCTATCACAGGAGAATCTGTTAATCGACCTCTGCTTAACCCACTCACAAGGTTAAATAATAATCTTCATTCTTTCTGAAGAATGAATTTACTGACTGATGCCCATGCTACATTGAGTGTTAGTAGACTACTTTCTAGTTTGCTCTNCTTTAGCTGATAGCTACATTTGCGAAAAAAGAAGAGAGTTACTCTGACATTGTTTTTCAAGATTGAGAAAATTCATATAACGTGCCAAGGTGTGATGTGTGGCATGTAGTAGGCACTGTGTAAATCTTCCCTTTATTTTCAGAAGTTGCTAATATATATGAACTGTTAGAAGGTTAATCGGTGGGTAGAATATGCAAAGCCTCCTGGGAACAGCCTATCACAGGAGAATCTGTTAATCGACCTCTGCTTAACCCACTCACAAGGTTAAATAATAATCTTCATTCTTTCTGAAGAATGAATTTACTGACTGATGCCCATGCTACATTGAGTGTTAGTAGACTACTTTCTAGTTTGCTCTTGAATTTTTATTCCCACCATTACTGTATACTTACCCCAAATCATTTGTGTTTGTACCCAACAAACTGTTAATGGCAGTTACACATGATATTGTAATTACATAGTTTAATGAAACATTATTCAGTGAACTCTGAAGGCAAAAGGATGTTTATATGAGAACCAGTTGGCTGCTTTGAAAACAGATGAGTAACTAAAGTGAATTACAGTTGAAATAGGTGAGGGTGAAGTAATTTTAAATGATTAGGAGGGAAAAACAAACCCTAACAATCTAAAAGATTTTGCAATAAGATTTCTTTTCAAGTGTGTGTGAGATGTCTTTCCATATTTAAGAAACAGAAACTGGAAAGCACAGGTGATGTTCCTTACTTGTCTGTGGTTTTTGCAAGAAAAATAAAGCAGAGTTTCTATGAATAAATCCATACATGAAGAAAAGGCCTTGGCCCTGCATTATAAGATTGTCTTGTGAATGCACATTCTTATGTTTTAGTTGCAATAAAATGTTTAAGGTATGTAGATTTTTTTTTTT